TTGTTTCCTTCCTTTCATTTAGAAATAGGACCTGCTTCCTCATGCACTCACCTTCCACTAGCTGTCTAGGTAGCTGAGACCTTCCAGCTCGTTTCATAAATGCTGTGCACCGACCCCTCCCGGCCTCCTCCTTGCCACCTTCTGTGATACTGACCTCTCGCTTGTGCCCCTGCAGGTTCACCCTTCACGCTGAGCACACCCAGTGCTCCCGGACCGCTGGTTTTCACTGCCCTCAGCCCTGACTCCCTACAGCTCAGCTGGGAGAGACCGCGCAAGCCCAATGGGTCCATCTTGGGCTACATGGTCACCTGCGAGATGCTGCATGGAGGAGGTATGGTATCAGGCTGTGGAAGCCCAGTTCCCTGTGTAGAATACAAGAAACCTCCAGCAAAGGCATCAACTTGCTGCGTTTTTGCTGGGACCAGCAACAAAGTTGTCTGCTTAGATTGGTGCAGACAAAGTGGGGACATGAGGCTGATTCCAGGCCTGGGAGCTGCTGGACCCTGATGCTTTGTGTCATTGCATGGTCTGGTGTAACAAATGTAGTGGGAAGAGAAAAGACCTGTAGCTTATTACAGCCCAAACCCAGTGGAGGTTGTTGAGGATCACCACTGTACTAAAATAGGGTTGTCTTAACCCTTAGTAGAACTGGGTGCGATCATACAGTCTGTGGGTGGCATAAAGCTTGGGGAAAGCCAAGACAGCAGCCAGAGTTGGGAGGAGTGTGTTTGGAGGGACCGTCGCTCCTGTCTGTCTTCACCGCTGGTGTGTCTGTGTGGATTAGGGGAGCCCAGGAATATCTATGTCGAAGGAGACAATCCGGAAACTACCCTGACTGTGCCCCACCTGAGTGAGAATGTCCCATACAAGTTCAAAGTGCAAGCCAAGACCACCCAAGGCTTTGGGCCAGAGAGAGAAGGCATCATCACCATCGAATCTCAGGATGGAGGTACAGTACCATGTCTTTGTGGAGTTGCAAAGATAGGAAACCTCTAAGAGCAGGGAACACAACTCCTGGAGTCCCTTTCCAGCTCTGGTGGTGACTCCATTTTCCATGAAAGACATGGAGACACTGTCTTCCATGAAGACAATGCCATGCCTTGTGAGCACTGTCCCAATCCTGATGCACTGAATGAGGGAGGATCGTGAGAACCTGCCAGTGTTTAATTCATTATGAAACTTCTGTCTTATGCCTGGTTGTACACATACCTGGAGGCAGCTTCTTACACTGCACAGGTGTAAGACCTTCCCAGTCCGCCCAGTTCCTCCTAAACCTGGCTCTGATGTCAGCAAGAGAAACCTCCTGAGCTGACTGTTGGTGCTCACTGCGCAGGGTTGAGGGCTTGGAAGCTCCTTGTCGTTTCCTGGCTGACTCATCCCTTTTCCTTCTCCACAGGCACTTTCTCCCAGTTTGGAGGACAGCAGTACATGAGAGAAGAAGTGTACAACTTCCCCACCGAATACACCACCAAAACCAGCATCAGCCATTCCTCGCTGGATCCCCACTTCACAGGTAGGGGCTTGCTGTCTGCTTTGAAACCCTCGGAAAGCAAAGGATAACTCTGCTTCTCCAAAGGTCTGAGGGTGCTTTTACCTCAAATGTCAAAGGCAGGGAGGGAGGGTCCATCAGGCGGGACTGATGAAGTGGACCAGACCCTTTCCTACACAGTGTCCCTGCTCTGCCCCAGAGGCTGTTGCAGTCTCTTCCCCATGTGCTGCCCAGGCACAGAAGGAACACTGAGTTTTCAAAGTCCCCCAGGACTATCACGGGGGACCAAATCGTAGCTCTTCCCGCAAGGTTAGATCTCCTCAGAGCAGGAAAAAACAGAGAAGTGTGACAACCACCTTTAATTACATCAGTGTAGTTGTCCCATGTCCCACTTGAGTTCATGGACTCATGGGTTCACGCTGCAACATGGAGAGTTTGGGAGCTGTTAGGAGATCCATCTTACTGACTGACATAGCAAAGTACTGAATCACTTGATCTGGAGAGGTTTTCCATCAGTGAAAGTGGTATTTAAGGAGAAACCTCTGCCAGGAATCATCAGGTAGAGCAGATCCTATTCCCTGTGACCCCGTACTTAGCACGGTGTCCTGACCACTGACCTTCTCGTTGCAGACGGCATGCTCATGACGACCCAGCGAGTGGAGAGTGCCAGCAGCACCCTCACCAAACAGGTCACCAAAGAGTTTGTGAGCCGGACCGTGATGTCCAGTGGGACCCTCACCAAACAGATGGAGAGGCAGTTCTACGAGGCCTGAGCCAAGGTAGGCTGCCTGCCAGCGGGACGTTTGTGTTCAGATGGCAGGACTTTGGAACGATCCAAGGGTGCTTCATCCAGAAGCTGCTGCGGTGCCTGGGCAGCTCCTCCTGTGGGCAGAGACCCTCCATGGCACTTCAAGCTCTGGACCTCTCCTTTGGAGCCCAGCACACTCAAAGCTCTGGCACGGTTGGGTGTGTGCTCATCCTTCAGGGCTTGTTCACCTTGTCCTGCTCTGCAGAGGCTCAGTTCTGCAGAGTCCACAGGGATGTCTTCCATGAACGATCACCGCTCACTCCAATACCATTCTTCAATGCCCATCCATCCAAATACACCTGCTGAAATTTGGGTGTCTCGATGGCTCCAGCCTCCCCAGATAAATGGAACAGAATGATTTATTCTCAGGTCCTCAGTTTTGAGAGGATCCCAGCTGGCAACATCCTGATTTATAGAGGGTCACCATTTCCATCTTTGCTCCAGGCTCTCTGGCAACTTGCCTGTCCACTGGAGATGGTAATTTTGTTCTGTTTGGGTTTTTTATGTAAGAGCTGCAAGGTAGGGGTTCGGGGTAACCTATGCTTTCTTACTGCGCCTATTTGTGTCTATCCCTCGCTGCTAACATTTGGTACCACGATAGCAAAGTATAGCCTTTCGTTTGTATAGCATTACTCATGATGGCCTCTGATGCATTTTTTTTTTCATACAATATTGTACAGTTTTCGTAGTATATATATGTATAAATATATATAAATGTATTTTATTATTTTATAAAAAAATGGAGGTGGGTGAGATCTATGCTGAATGTGGAGGCTACGCTGGGACAGTGGCTGCTGAGAAACATGAATAACTGGAAGAAATTAGTTAAGGGCTTGATCCAAAGGCCACTAAACCCTGTGGAAAGCCTGTTGATGAGCTGGTGGGCTCTGCCTTGGGCCTTATATCCTCCAGCACCGGAGACTCCAGCAGAAGGCTGCAAGCGGCCAGACCAGCTTGCTGCACAGCCCCAGCCGAGCACTCTCCAGCCACAGCACGCGTGCGCAGAAGGGCAGGGATCTGCCTGGGGGCGAGGGATGGGGATGGCCCAGGCGGTGGTGCCTGGAGATGGGAACGGTGCCTGGGATTTCTTACATGGCAGATGTGGAGAGCATGAGATTTTTGGGCAGAAGATGTTGGATATCTTTTAAAAGCCCTTTTGCCCAACAGCAACGTCCATAAAGGGACCTGTGATCCCTCAGTAAAGACAAGGGAAGAGCAAGCCTGAGAACAGCAGGCTCGCTCATCATCCTGAGCAAGTCTCTGAGCCTCCTTCAGCCCTTGGCTTTAGCTGTCCTCGCACGGTGCTGGGTGCAGGGCTGAGCTGAGACCTTGCTGGGCCTCGTTTCCTGGCTCTGGGCACGATGCCTGGCATCTCGCTACCCTCTGCCAACAAGAACAATTGGGCTCCACGTCTTGCTGAACAGCGTGTTTCCCTGGCGTGCTTCAGCTGCACGGGAGCAGGCGAGAAGCCTGCTGAAAACAAGGATCCTGCCCAAAGCAGCAACTGCCACCGTTCTGGATTAGAGCTTCCAACCAAAACAGCAGCTGCCTGGTCTCGCTGGCAGCATCGCCTGCCTGATTTGATCTGACGCTGGACCTTGGCTTTTTTGTTCTTTTTTTTTTTTTCTTTTTTTTTGGACTCAGAAGGAGACTTTCCAGCACTGACACCACCGAGAGCTCCCTCTCCTCTCCGGGCTGTTTGTTTGAGTGGGATGGGTTGTACATGTTTGAGCCAAAGATGCACATAGGTGAGTAAAGTCCACAGGAGTCTCCAGGACTACAGCTGGAGCTAGGTCAGTTTTGAACTTGGGTCAAGAGGCTTTACTGTGCCTTCAAGAAGCACTTATTTTTCCTGAGCAAGTACCAGTGGCATTAGCCTGCCTGCCTGCCTCCCAGTTCCTGTCTCACCTTTGTGGTTGGGGTTTCCTCTCCAGCTGACATGTCTCTTCCTGCACAAGGACTCCGTGGCCCCTTCCCTGTGCTTTGTGGTCCAAGGTAAAACACTGAAAGCTACCAAAAAAGGGAGCCCAACTTCCAAGCATTTTAACCAAAGACTATCCTGTTATCCAGAAGAGCACAGCCCGTCAGCTGCTGCTCTCCAGGGCCTCACGCCATCCCCATGTGCAAGACAGCTGTGCACTTAACCGATGCCTCGCACCAGAACAGTGTCACTTTTTAATTTTCATCTGGTCGTTAGGGCTGGTGGTGTTTCAGCCTTTCCAAGGTGGATCCAGCAGCCCGCTCCGACAGCAGGTCTTTGATCAGATAGCTTCCTATTGCACTCAATAAATGTTTTCTCTACAGCCTGCCTCTTCCCTTTTCTTTAAAAAAAAAAAAAAATCATCCCCCCCAATACTCTCCATCTGCAGCAGCAGATGAAGGACCTGTGCCAGAAGCAGATACCCAAGCAGTGCCTGCTGCTCCTCCACCGCCATCCCCTCCTGCGACTGCAGCTCCAGCGGCACTACTGGACCCCGTGTGCCCAGTAATGGCTTGTTACACCAGTGCAAACCGGAGTTAAACCAGTCTCCTCTGAGGAAAGGTCCCCAGTGACTTCGGTGTCAGAGCTTGGCTCAGGCAGATGCAGAACAACTGTGCAAATGTTTTGTGTTTATTAGGCAAATGACACAGACAAATTGATTCCCTTGCGAAGCGAGGAAAGCAGCTGCCTCTCGGAGGGAGGTGATCCCAGCCCAGGCAAGGTGGTCGCTCCTCTACAGGGGCAGCACCTTTGCCCCTCCGGAGGGTTTGGTGAGGTAGAAGGTGGCTGTGCCGCTGTATTTCTCCTAGGAGACAGGAGGAGCGGTAAGTGCTGGGGGATGGCAGAGCTGGTGGGAGAAAGGGGCTGCCGGTCAGCCTGGCCGTGCGTCGGGCCCAGCAACTGCTCCAACAGCGGCCGCGCGAGATGCTTTTTGGGGACAGTACGCTGTCCTGGCCACTGCCTGGGGTCCCCTGGTCCATCCACAGCATGGGGCAGGGAGGCTATCAACACATCCCCAAGCTGACCCTTCAGCAGCCCCTTATGGACTGTTCTCCATGACTTTTTCCAACCCCTTTTTGACCCTGCTGATGCTGCTGACCTCCACGGCCTCTGGCGACAGCAGAAAACTCACTACCAGCTCTGTGCAGTGCTTCCTCGGCTCTGTTTTTTCTCCTAACTCATCCAGTGGTCGCTGGTTGTTATTTTGGAGGATTTGAGGGTCAGTTCCACACTCACCCTACCTACCTCTTTCGCTGTTTTGTAACTCCTGGTCGCGTTCTCTCTCCCCCAGCCTCTCATCAGATGGCAGAGGTACAGCCCTTTCGGTCTCTCATTTCAGACACCTTCCTCTGCCCCTTCTTTATCGCCCCCCACTAGTTACGGGGCGCACCATGATCTCACATAGCAGCAAAATGAGGCTCTGCCTCATTCACAGCCCCCGTTTCCTGACACCCCCATTTTGCTGGCGTTTTCAGCTACCAATGCATGCTGAGCTGCTGATTTAGAGAACGTTGATGACGGCACTGAGATCTTTCCTGGGCTGTAACTGCCGGCGTTAAGCTCAGCATTGCCTAAGCTTGGCTTGGATTACTTTTCCCTAGATAGATTTAGCCTTCCTGAAGCTCACCTGGCACCTTTACGCTCACTTTCTCAATGCACTAAGATCCTTGGGCAGTGCTCTGTGACCAGCACGGTGCTGAGCTGCCTGCAAGAGCTTAGTAGCATCAACAGACTTGGGGCTATCCCTGCATGGCACTGGATGAGCTACACCAACCCCAAGTGCCTCAGGAGCGCAGCTTCAATGGCATCCCAGGGCCATGCCCCCAAGTGTTTCCTTGGGATCTTTAAGTCAATCTCCTGGCACTTTTCTGCCGTGTACCTGGATGTGGTGCTGGGCTTTCTCTGCAGCCCCAGCCTCCAGCAGCGTCACCGTGCAACCTCCGAAGCCTCCCCCGGTCATCCTGCTGCCGTAAACACCATCCACCTCCAGGGCTGCTGCTACCAGCTCATCCAGCTCTGGGCAGCTCACTTCATAGTCGTCCCTGGAGAGAGGAGACCCATGGTCAGCCCTGTCCTGCACCCTGGCCATAGCCCCTGCACCACAAACAGCTGAAACATGCATCTTGGTGATCCACTGCCGTAGCAAACTGCAGCAATGCAGGATGATGCAGACCCCGGTCCAGCTCTCTGCCTTAAGCGCATGTATACATGAGCAAGGCTGCGAGCATCAGGGACCCGCTGGGCGCTGCTGTAAGTAGCACGTGTCTGTAATGTATGTGACCGGCTGCCTCGTCCCAGCACCCCCTGGCACAGAAGCCTGTGGGGCTTTTCCTAAAACTCCCCAGCAGGCTGAGCTGTGAGAGACACGGGGCAGGACGCAGCTCTGGCTGCCCCCGGTGCTGCACCCACGGGCCAGGGG